AACTACGCCAGAGCGCGTACACACCTCACGCACTGGATGCCGTGCCTGCGCTCAAAGACAGTTTGACATAGTGGTGTATTAGAGGTAAAATATGATATAAATACTGTTCGGTTTCTGGCACAAACTGATCGTTTCGTGTCTTAGGACATCAATGTGTCATCACGAGCCGCAGGGTTTAATTTGGATTTGTCTGTGCATGTTTTTTTTACTCTCATAGATTTTGTTACCATTGCCATGCATTATACGACTGACAGACTGCAACGGCTGGACTTAAAAATCATCACTTGTGTTCAACTGAAGAAACAAAGTCACCTACATCTTGGATGCCCTGGGGGTAAGCAGATAAACATCAAATTTTCATTTTTGGGTGAACTATCCCTTTAAGTGCACATTCACTACAATTAAGCACACTTCTTTTTATATTTTAATAATTCTCACTGAACAGATTCAATCCAAGTGTGAGCTTAATTACAGCATTTTATATCAAATATTCTGTCATTTTTTATAATAGTGTGGTTCTTTCAGAGAATGTCAGAGAGACAGGGACTGAGGGCAGACTCCACCCACTTCACTTTAGATGGAGCCCCATTTCGGATCCTCGGAGGCTCCATCCATTACTTTCGGGTCCCCAGGGCGTACTGGAGAGACCGGCTGCTCAAACTCAAGGCCTGTGGCCTCAATACTCTCACCACGTAAGACCATGACAGATTTTTTTCTTTTCCCCTCAGAATCTTCTTGAAGAGTCATATTCGTCATGTTTTGTCTGTCAGGTACGTGCCGTGGAATCTTCATGAACCAGAAAGAGGAGTTTATCTTTTTCAGGAGGAGCTGGATCTGGAGTAAGTGATGTTGGTTTGTTTGTTTATTTATTTATATGAAATTTATGAATTATATTTCTGAACTATAAGAAGTTGTTTTACATGTGCTGAGGAAAATATTAGTAGGAAAATGCATCTTAGAGTTGTTAGAGGTGTTGCCTGTGTTCTGGGTGATTACTGTACCAAATATATTGGTTTTCATATATGGCTTGTTAGTTGTATGTATATTCAATATAAGTGGTTTTTTTCCTGGGTTTTTAAAACCCCACAATCACACTAATGGTCAAAAGTTTGAATTAATTAACTTTTTTTTTTTTTACGGTCTTCTATGCTCACCAAGGATGCATTTATTTGGTCAAAATACAGTAAAACAGTAGTACTGTGCAATATTATTACGATTTTAAAAGAACCATTTTTTTTTTTACAATATATGATTTGATAACAAAGCTGAATTTTCATCAGCCATTACTCCAGTCTGCAGTGTCACATGATCAAGAAAACAGTTCTTTTAAATTATAGTAATATTTGAAAATATTACTGTTTTCAGTGTATGACTAGTGTATAAACCACAGTGAAGTTTGCCTCAAGAATAAACAATTTTTTTTTTAATTTTTAAATTCCATTTTAACAAATGTGTTCATTAATGTAACAAAATCTTTGCATGCCCTAAGGGCATACATTCGTCTAGCAGGGGAATTAGGCCTTTGGGTGATTCTGCGTCCGGGGCCGTACATATGTGCCGAGTGGGATTTGGGTGGGTTACCAAGGTTAGTGTCTCACCTGTTATGAAAATTTACTATATATTTGTTTGTTTTCTTTAGTCTTTTTAATGAAACATATTTAAATAAAACTATATATATACTTTTTTTAATCAGCTGGCTGCTGCAGGATAAGAAAATGAAATTAAGAACGACCTACTCTGGTTTCACAAGTGCTGTGAACTCGTACTTTGATAAACTCATTCCGAGAGTCACACCCCTCCAGGTCAAATATGTGTTATTTTTGGTTTGTTTCGTTTTGAGTTTTTATTTGGTTGGTTTTGGTCTTGAATTTGTCTCCACTGCTCTCCCTGCAGTATAAGAATGGAGGCCCTATTATTGCTGTTCAAGTAGAGAATGAATATGGTTCATATGCAAAGGATGAGCAATACATGTCATTCATCAAAGAGGTATGGCATGAAATTAAATCATCATTTACTCTGCGTTATGGTGAGCCAATTCTCTTATACCTACAGAGTTTTTGTTCTCAAAATCAACAGGTGTTACTGTCCCGGGGAATCTCCGAGCTTCTCCTCACATCAGACAACCATGACGGGCTGAAGTGTGGAGGGGTAGATGGAGGTACAGTAGCATTCATATATCCATTCATTCATTTAGTGTCCCCACTGCTTGTTAATAATGTGATAACTCAACAGTATTTTGCACAAGTGAAATAATTTAATTGTGTTTACACTACTGTTCAGAAATTCAAAGATTCTTTAAATGTTTTTGAAAGAAGTCTCCTCTGCTGGCTAAGGCTGCATTATTTGATCAAAAATACAGTAAAAGCAATAATATTGTGAAATATTATTGCAATTTAGAATAACTGTTTTCTCATTTAATATATTTTAAAATGTAATTTATTCTTAGCAGCCGTTACTTCAGTCTTGAGTCACATAATTCTTCAGAAATTGTAATATTTACAATTGTAATATGCTGATTTGGTGCTCAGGAAACATTTCTTATTATTGCCAATGTTGAAAACAGTTGTGTAAAAGATGATACGCTTTTCTAGTATTCTTTGATAAATGTGATGCTGGAGCACAAAAGCAGTCTTAAGTCGCTGGGGTATATTTGTAGCAATAGCCAAAAATACACTGTATGGGTCAAAATTATCGATTTTTCTTTTATGCCAAAAATCATTAGGATATTAAGTAAATATCATGTTCCATGAAGATATTTTGTAAATTTCCTACCGTAAATATATTCAAACTTAATTTTTGATTAGTAATATGCATTGCTAAGAACTTCATTTGGACAATTTTAAAGGCGATTTTCTCCATATTTAGATTTTTTTGCACCCTCAGATTCCAGATTTTCAAATAGTTGTATCTCGGCCAAATATTGTCCTATTCATACATCAATGGAAAACTTATTTATTCAGCTTCAATTAAAAAAAATGACCCTTGTGACTGGTTTTGTGGTCCAGGGTCACAAATAGAAAGTATTACATTATTTAAAAAAATATATATATTACTAATCTTGAACATTTGAACATTAGTGTAGGTAAGTAAAGTTCTTCTACCACAGATTATATCTGATCTCCTTTAAAAGCCTTGCAGACAGTGAACCTACAGAAACTAACGTTTGGTGATGTACAGCATTTAGCAGAATTGCAGGTCAGTAAAAATTTTAGAATGTTTTCAAATTTGTCCTTATTTACAATTGTGTTTAACAATTCATTTTGTTAAATGACTACAGTGTTAAAATGCCAACAGCTGTATTTTTCGCACAAATATCTACTAAATCTGCTATATATCCTGCAGCTCTTATACTGTATGCTTTCTGAAGATGAAGTATGATTAAGAAATATGGCTTAAAACAAGGAAGTCCCTAGTACTTGTTTGTAAAAGAAACTATAGACAGCACAAAAGAGATTTGAACATTTTCTTTGCTGCAGCCACAGAAGCCGCTGATGGTGATGGAATATTGGTCTGGCTGGTTTGATGTTTGGGGGGAACCTCATCATGTTTTCTCTGCACCAGGTAAAGAATCTGCCTCATCATGCCTCAAAGTGAGCATGTGGACATTGACACAGATGAACAGACCAGATAGAATGGACAATTTGTATCTAAGTTTACTTTTTGCCTGACGCAATGCCATAATACATATGAATGCATGAAAAACAATCCATTTGCCTTGCACGATCCTTTTCCTTTTGTCAGTATATATTCTAATGTCTGATAAATTCTCTCTCTGCTTTGACATGTATTGTGTCTGGATCTCTTCTGTTATGACAGAAATGATCTCTATAGTGCGAGAGCTTCTGGATCGTGGCATCTCCATCAATTTCTACATGTTTCATGGAGGAACCAGCTTTGGATTCATGAACGGAGCATTTGACTTGGGAACCTACAAACCACAGACGAGCAGCTACGGTTCAGTAGTTTTAATATTCTTGACCACTGAGACAATGTATACTACCATTCAAAAGTTTGTAGTCACTAAGAATTTTTTTTTTGAAGGAAATTAATTATTTTATTCAGCAAGGGCGCATTAAATTGATTAAAAGTGACAATTATACATTTATGTTTATAAATACAAACGTTTTGATGCTGTTCTAGAACTTTCTATTAATCAAAGAATCCCGACAAAGTAATAAGCAGCTATGTTTCATCATCGATAATAATTAGAAATGTTTCTTGAGCATCAAATCAGCATATTAGAATGATTTCTGAAGGATCATGGGCCAC